AAGTCTAGGGTTAGCCGTTATATCTCCAGTATAACCCGGTAAATTGCACTTCTTACGTGCTCTTCTTAAGCCAATGCAATAAATCATTCAGTAACTATCTATCTTGATAGTTCGACAGAGGAGATCCGACTTTGGTTTTTGATAAGATGTTACTCTGTTGATGTTGTTTTTCTCCATTTCTGTCAGAATGTGTTGAAAGCGAAAGATACTAGTATTTTCCTATGAAATATAGCTATGTCTTTGCGTTTTCCGCAAGAAAGTTTCCACTTTGCCTAATTTATCATACTTTTGTTCGGATTCTATATTCTACTCACTCACGCATACACACATATACACTACAGTTCAAAAGTTTGAAGACACACTCAGAATTAGCATGGGATGAACTTGACAAAAGAATGAAAAAAAAAACGAAAAACAACTCTTAGAGTCATTGAAAAAAGAACGGAATCAATTATAAAACTTATACTTCGAGAAACTTTCGCAATTAATGCCAAAAATTTGTGCTGCAATAATCAAGGCACAGATATTATAGAGGATATTTTGACGAGAGCAATATTTAATCAATAATGTCTTTTTCTTAAAAAAAATCGTGTCTCACTTTTTGTATAATAATTTCTCTTATTTAAATTACGACAAAAAATACTTTGGGGGCTAATTTTAAAAATGACCAGGTTTTCCTCAAACTTTTGAACTGTAGTATATATATATATATATATATATATATATATATATATATATGTGTGTGTGTGTGTGTGTGTGTGTGTGTGTGTGTGTGTGTGTGTGTGTGTGTGTGTGTGTGTGTGAAAATATATAGAAAATAGGAAGGAACTGGTTAGGTAAGGCTAGAACATGTAAAACTTGGGATGACCCATGCCCTTTGTGCCTCCATGAAAAATTGCACATTATTAAGCTTCTAAATAATAATAATCTATTAAACAATAGACACGAGTTAACGGTTTTTTGTAGACATCATCAGATTTTTGGTTTGAATTATTAGCTAAAAAAAGCATAAAATATAATAACTTGTTTAATCCATAGCCCAATCATCAGATTCATGGTTTGAATAATTAACTAAAAACATGCATACAATATAACACCCTTCATAATCCATAGCCCAAATAAATAGTTTAAATACCCTACAAAAAAGATAACCCTTTATGAAGTCGTCAAAAAACAAACGTTACGACAGTTTTTTATATGCACAAATCCCTTTCATAAAAAAATAAAATAAAAATAAATAAATCTCCATAGACATGCAAACTAGACGCGGGTTAATACATCTTCCGTTTAAAATTTAGACACCCCTACCTTTCCCTGACTTGACATCTATGAAAGTAACTCTATACTGATACCTATTATTAACACCCAACACTCGCCTACCCAATTTAAACAATTCGCCCTAGCTGTTACCATGGAAATTATGATTTCAATTTTTAAAACACGTAAATTTCAGATATACGTTATTCCCAAAAAAAATTTTGCTTGAAGATGGAACAGAGCTTATTTTAACTCAATTTAATTTAAATAATTATATTGTAGTTTTCGGCTCTTGTTTTGAAACATGAGACTTCTTATGTAGCGTTTTGGAATCATATTTTTAAATAAATAATTATATATATATATATATATATATATATATATATATATATATCAATATCAAGGAAGGCAAAATTTGAGTTATTGCAAGTGTTTCAATTGATGCCTGTTCTCGTCCAGTCACTACTGACAATACGGACAAACTGACTTGCACGCATCACGTGTTTGTACGCGTTCTTTCAAGCCCCGGGCTAAGCTGCAGACTTATTGATCCCCCTTCATCGTATCTATTACTCAGCATTTCGTTATTTATTTCTCATATGATTTATTGTCGATAATAACGGGGCTGTATCCGTTTTTTTTTATCGAAACTAGCGTGAAAAACATCGGGTCGCAAACTAAAGTTCACACTTCATCAAGAAATCGGAATACATTTTTTTTTATCATAATAAAGATGAAGAAGTTAATTTAGTATTATTGTCAACATATCGAGTGAACCTTATGTGAAAGATTTAATCTACCTTATATATATTCTACAACTGAGTCGCTTATTGTTGATTCACTTCGGAGACTCTATATATGATATCATTGAAAAGAATAAAAATCTTTACTTGAGCGGAGATTTGGCTACAATTCCATAAATATAATAGATTTTTCAGTGACAATGAAAAGACATCTTTTTTCAAGCGTGGATATTTTGTTTTCTGCGATTTTTTTTTAAATTGTTGCTTTTTCTTTTAACGGTATCATTCCCTGCAAGGCAATAAAGCCACTAAGACACGTGGGGTTACAGTATGCGGAAGAATTAGGAACATAATTTTTAATTAATAATGAGAGAGAAATGGAAAAAAATAATCAGGTGGACATTAGATAAGGAAGTTAAGCGGAATGCCGGAAGAGATTCCCACAAACGAGAAGTGCGAGGGAAGAAACTGTTAGCATAGAACTTACGGTTACATCTAGCCAGCTCAGCTGTAAATGGATGAGATCTTGACACCAGTCTAGTACTGAGCTTAAATTCAAAAAGTCTAGTTACCATAGCGAATAGCTTATTCGAACAATTACCATGAAAGTATTTATAGAAAAAGCACAAAGAGGCAACCTTACAGCGATGGGAAACTGAATGAAGCCAAGCTGCCGGATCAGGACCAATAATATTGCTGATTCTTCTTTGGAGTTTAGCTCAATGTAAATAGCAGGGAATCATGTGTAGCAGCAATATTTTAAGCATGGACGAATGGTAGACATAGATATGTAAGATAGATTCCGGAGAGAAAATTGTCTCGCACGGCACAATAATAACAATAACAGCTTTATAACAATATAAACATTATTTCTGAATAACCATCGTGAACTGGAGGATAAATTAATCTCTATATAATGGTCACCTCTTTCTAGATTTAATTATTAAGTTATTAATTGACATTCGGTTTACAACTTTTTTGTTATTATCACAATATTTCGTTTGTTGGGACCCCTTCATGTGTATGTCAATCGAAGAACAAGAGTGAACACTGAATATGCTGCGCTCGGGATAGTTTTACCCAATACCGCCACTTGCTACAAAACTTAAATATTAATCTAAAAACTCGAGTCAAGTTCTTCAACATTCTCTAGACTTTCATATGGATTTCGTGAATGGTGCCAAACTTCGCAAATCAATGGTTCAAAATGGCTTCCAGAACTGGCCACAGAAACGCAAAGAACTGTCTCAAATAACAGAAACGACATCCCTTGAGGGCATTCAGTGTAATAAAAAATGAACATCACGTCTCAGGCGAAGAGTGAATAATGACATAATCAAGATGTTGATTTTCCACGCTACTTCAAACAAAAGGTCAGGAAGGAAACCCCCATCAACACTGGAAAAAAAAAAGCGATAACATATTCTCCTCAAAAATTGTTATAATAGAAACATTTTGTAAATTTCAACCGACAGTAGCCCTGAAAACTCGGTCAATGAAGAAACGGCTAATATTAGCATCGCTATTACCAGTCAGGTAATTTTGAATTGATCTCTTTATTTAATCTACGTGAATTGATTGTTCCCGTTCTGATATCAATGGCTAGGGAGACCTAGTCTTTTTAACTTTAGTATTGATAAATTATTTCTCGTTCTATTTCCATTGAATCTAAGTCTGTACTACCTGGGCCAACAACGAACAAACACTTGCCACCAAACATCTGACACAACCTATCTACTATCCATTAATATCCTATTTCATGTCCATTGGGCTATTAGGGTGCCACAGAACTGGGTTTTTCAAACTGTGGCTCCTGAACCTTCAGTGGGTCACGAAATAAATAAAATGGATCGCAAAAAAAAAAAAAAGAAAAGAAAGAAGAAAACGCAAGTTAGAGCAAAGTGCACAATATAAACAACTTTAAATGTTGCACAGCACTCATAAATCATTGCTAGTCTTTCACCGAGGTAAGCTCGTATTATTTTTTTAATATATATATATATATATATATATATATATATATATATATATATATATATATATATATGGAGAGAGAGAGAGTGTGTGTTCTCATTGAGTTTATGTATCATGTTCGCCAAGCTCGTTCCGGATTGAATGACAGGATTTCCTTTAAATTTGTTTTCCCAAAAGTGATAAATTCATATTCATACAAATAGATAATTCATATAAATACATACCTTTCCAATGTGTGCCGATCATAAGAAATATACATATAAATTGTCGATGCTAAATGAATGAACCAGTTTGTCTTTGATAAAAAAGAATGAAAGTTATATCTAGCCATCTATCGGGATCAAAGCAAAGTCTAATCGAAGCACTTTGCTTGAATCTGATTCACACGCTATCGTCAAGATTACAGAACCGTTCCAACGTCGAGACGTCGTGATTGGGCGGTTGGACTGTACTCAATTATCTCCAAAACCTAGCTTATTTTGCCACAAGGTCCCAAATATGGAGGACTAAATGAGTATCTTAGGTAGTAATAATAATTATCCGCGAAATCACTTTGTTCAGGATTACCTCACGTCGAAACACCGTTACTAGATGCAGATTTGGTTTCTATGGAAATTAGCGTCCCAAACGTGCTCTATCTCTATTTTCTGACGTATATCGCTGACGTCGGACTTGCTAACAGTATGCGCACACAATAGGCATGGCGGTGATTTGCCTTTCTGATGCAACATTGAAGAGTTCGGCTCGACGTGAAAGGCTTGCAAAATCGATGCCCTATCTATTTAATCATGGACTGCCGCACAGAAAATCTGTGTTTGTAGTTAGATCATTCTGCTAAATGAGTTTAGAGGCGGACGTGTAACTTACTAAGGCTGTTAGCTCTATTAGATCGAAAACGTGCTGATTTGAACTATGTTTTTATGCGGAGGTTTTGCTTCAGTATAAACACCGACACGCAGTTATAAAAGATTGGGAGAGACGCAAATGTAATTTATAAGTATATAAGAAGGCGAATAGCTGTCGATG